CCCAATCAGGGCACATGCATGGGTTGCAGGCCAGATCCCTAGTAAGGCGTGTGTGAGAGGCAACCACATACTGATGCTTCTCTCCCCCTCTTTCTCCCTCCCTTCCCCTCAGCCTAAAAAATAAATAAATAAAATATTTTTAAAAAATAAAATAAAAATTTAACAACAACATATCCTCAGGTGAGGATTAAAAAAATGATAATGAAAAATTGTCCATTTTATTGTTTTTCCTTTGATGAATTAGCATTTGGTTTGATTGGGCAAATTTATAATTGGGTTTTGGTTTTGTTTTATTTATTTCTGCTTTTATCTTTAGTAATTTCTGCTTAGATTTCCTCTGGATTTACTTTGCTATTCACTTGCAATTTTTTAAAAAAAAGATTTTATTTATTTATTTTTTGGCAGAGGGAAAGGGAGAAAGAAAGGGAGAGAAACATCAGTATGTGGTTGCCACTCACACATCAACTGGGGAACTGGCCTGCAACCCAGGCATGTGCTCTGACTGGGAATCAAACTGTGACCCTTTGGTTCACAGGCCAGTGCTCAAGCCACTGAGCCACACCAGCCAGGGCAAGTTTCTTAGGTTTAAAAAAATTCACCTCAGGTTAGTCTTTCTTGTTTTATTATCAGTGCACCTGTGGATATGGACTGATGTGTAGCTCTCTAATAATTATTGTCTGTCTCTAAATACTTTGTAATTTGTTTTTTATTTTCTTTTGAAACCAAATATCATTTAGAAAACTTTTATGAAAATTTTCAAGTTAGCCCTGATCCATGGGCTCAATTGGTTGGGCATTGTCCCACAAAACAAGAGGTCAATGGTTCAATTTCTGGTCAGGACACATGCCTGGGATGCAGGTTCACAGGAGAGGGAAGCAATCAATATTTCGCTCTCACATTGATGTTTCTTTTCCTTTCTTTCTTCCCCCCTTCCCTTCTCTCTCTAAAAATAAATAAATAAAACTTTAAAAAATTTTGAAGTTAAGAAGTTTTTGGTTAAATTTTTGTTATTAATTTTAAATTCTATTTCTTTGTGGTGAAAGAATACAGTTTGTATAACTTTTTTTGTATTGAGACAGGAAAGGAATATCTGCCTGAAGCTCAATAATACATAAGAAAGATGTGGCCTCACTATCTGGGGGTTTATATCTGGAAATATTTGAAAAAAAAACCTTCAGTGTCCCTCCTTAGCAAACTAATGAAGTCAACACAATGCTCATCAGACTGCAGGGAGCTGGGCTCCTCCTCTCTTTTGCCGTGGAGATGGTACTTTTCTTTACATATTTCAAAGATGGCTTTGTCTTTTTCATTGCCCAGACCATAAATTAAAGCCCCAAGCCAGTACTTCCCATACTGTGTTCTATGGAGCACCAGTTCTATAGATATTAATAGGTGATGTACAGGAGGGTTTGGTTTGGGGACTGCTGAATTCAACAGAACTGACTACCATTGGCATCTCAGAGCCTTGGTATTTTTTAGTGCATTGATTGACTTGATAAAAGGAGGGAAACGCTCAGTTATGTTTCTCAAACTAATGTGGAATGCAAGCCTTCTGTGGGACACAAGGTCAATGTTCCAAAAACAGAGACTGTATGCTATGCAGCCCAACGCCCTATTTTCAAAGTCTTCTATGATGTTGTTTGTCTCGGTCAAATTTTATTTAGTTCAATGGTTAAGGTCATTCCTTCGTTCCACCCTCTCAGTGTGCTTGTATCTTGAATCTATAATCCAGAGTTTCTGCCATTCCTCTGGTATTCTTAATGTTGCAGATCAGATCAGCCTGCCAACTGTGTTCTGTGATGCACAGATAAGGATTTAGATAGGACAGGACCAAGGACAGAGCCTTGCAGTGGGCCTCAGGAATCGGGAAGACATACATTTCATCCATGGAATGACTATGATAGTAGAAGCTGCCTAAGCTAGCACTTGTCAAACTTTCTTGTACAGATGGATCACCTGGGAATATTGCTAAAATCCAGAATCTGATTCAATGAGTTTGAAGTTGGGTCTGAAATTGTGCATTTGCAACAAGCTCCCTGATTCTACCAGTCCTAGGACTATGTTTTGAGTACAAGGTATTAGAACATGGTGTTGAGAAGGAATCAGAGGCAACATTTCTGCTCAGTGAGAGAGCGTGTCATGATCCATTAGCAGTGTCTACCATGGGCAGAGGAGCATGAATATGTGCCATCTTTGCCTTACAAGTCTCTGTTGAAAAGGATTCAAGACAATAAAGAAAAAAATAAGTTATTCACAACATAGAATGTTATGCAAGCATGAAAATAGATCTATCTATTCTAGATGACATAAATTCCAAGATATAATGTTATATTATTTAAAAGGCAAGGCTGGAGTATAAACTATACACACTGTCCCATTTGCGTGAAATAATCTTATACTCTGACATTATCAAGAGTTGATAAAGCTGTAGAAAATGAGAACATTCTTACACTGCTGGTGAGAATATAAACAGGTACAATTACTTTGGAACACTGGCATTATTACTATAGTTGAAGGTACTGTACTCTATAACCCAGTGATTCTCTGGGTATGCACATGAGAGAAACGCATGCATTTCTCCACCAACATTCATGGACAAGAATATTCACAGCAGCACTTCTATGTAATAGTCCCAAACTGAAAATGACTCAAATGTCCCTCAAGAGGAAAACAGATAAATTATGGTAAGTTCATAATGAAATACTACACAATAATAGAAATGACAAAATGATGATTCTATGTGGTTGAATATCACAGAAAAAATGTTGATTGAAAAGAGTGAGACACAAAAAAAGAATACCTGTATGATTCTACTCCGTATATTTCAAAACCAGGAAAAGATAAATTATATCATTTAGGGATAGAAATGCAGGTGCCTTAAAGCTTTTTTTCTTTAAGGCAAGGAAATAACTATCAGAAGAGTAAGAATTATAGGCATCTAAAAAATGAGGTTATTATGACCAGGGAGGGAACTTTGGGGAGGCATCTTCTCATTTCCTTCCTTCACCTAGGTGTTGGTTAGATTTTTATTAAACTCCACACACAAGGTTTAAATTTTTTTTCTATATGCTAACTTAACACATGCTATATATGACTAGCTCATGTGTATAAATATGTGTGATTGTCGTGGAGAACTTTTAGAAGGAGACACAGGAATCTGGTGATCATGATTACCTTATAACGGAGAACTGGGGTCCTGGCTGATGTGGCTCAGTGGACTGATCACTGGCCTGTGAACTGAAAGGTTGCCTGTTCAATTCCCAGTCAGGGCAGATGTCTGGGTTGCGGGCCAGGTTCCCAGTTGGGGGCCTTGTGAGAGGCAACCGATATCTCACACACTGATGTTTCTCTCCCTCTCTTTCCCCCTCCTTTCCCCTCTCTCTAAAAGTAAACAAATAAAATCTTTAAAAAACAAAGAGCCCTGGCTGGTGTGGTTCAGTGGATTGAGTGCCAGCCTGCAAACCAAGTGGTTGCTGGTTCAACTCCCAGTCTAGGGCACATGTCTGGGTTGCGGCCAGGCCCCTGGTAGGGGGCAGGCAGGAGGCAACTATACACTGATGTTTCTCTCCCTCTCTTTCTCCTTTCCTTCTCTCTCTAAAAAGAAAATGAATGGAATCTTAAAAAAAAAAAAAAAAGAAACTTTAAAAAAAAAAGAAAGAACTGGGAATTAGAGTATCCCAATGACATGTTTACTTTTCATTTTACTTTTTAGTTCAGTTTGAATGTCTTTACCAGCTCTATTAAAAATAGTTCATTGAAAACCAGTATCTCTCATTGCCTGCCTGTCTCCTAGCTCCACAAATTAAAAAAAAAAAAATCATTCTACTTATACATGGAAACTTTAATAGACGTTATTTCATCTAATTCCCCTCATGTCTTCATGTAGGGCAGGATTCCATTTCCCATTAAAGTCAGGCATAACCATGTGACTTGATCATGCTAACGAAACATGAATGGAGGTGACCGGTCTCACATCTGGGGAGAAGAGTGAACAGTCAGTGCGTATCCCCCATCTTCCTTTCCCTCTATGGTGGTAACCAGTGGTGTGACAGGTGGGAAAGCCCCCGTTAACTTAGGTTTCTTAATTGCAGTGTACATGTAACGTGAGTAAAAAATAAACTTGTATAGTTTTGAGCCACTTCAATTTTGGCATAATTTGTTATTGTAGCATTACCTAACTTATAATGACTAAAACAGAGCCCTTGTTTTTCCAAGCACACAGTTTTATGAGGGCTTGAGCTCCAAGGTCATTTCCCCCTTCATGACCATACTCACACACCTACCTTTTAAGCTTTTTTTCTCTAGGGCAAGATAAATGGCCGTAAGTGATCATGGTGAGTTTTTAGGTATCCAAAAGATGAAAGTCAGATTCCTCTGAAGCTTAAAGAAATCCAATGGATGGTCATCTGCAGAAAGGACTGTCTTACACATTTTCCCATAAGTCAACGCTTCAGTGAGGAGTATGTCTCCTTATGTAGAGGAAGAGAGTGGTGGTTAGAAGAGGAACAAAAGATGCTAATGAGACCTACTTAGTCATGAAGGGATTTTTTTTTTCTTTCTTAGTTCCTCTGCATCTCTTTTTCCATAACACAGAGGGCTGGTGGTAGTGAGGTCTCTCAGTGTGTCTTACAGACCTAAAAATCTCCCACCTCAGTATTTTTCAAACTTACCAGATGATTATTAAAAATAAATTCCAACCTTAGCGGGTGTGGATCAGTGAATTGAGTGCTGGCTTGCGAACCAAAGGTTTGCCAGTTCGATTTCAAGTCGGGGCAAATGCCTGGGTGGCAGGCCAGTAGATTCCCAGTAGGGAACATGGGAAAAACAACCACGCATTGATGTTTCTCTCCCGTTTCTCCTTTAATCCCCTCTCTCTAAAAATAAATACATAAATAAATAAATAAATAAATAAATAAATAAATAATCTTTTTAAAAAAATAAATAAATTCCTGGAACTTACTTTGTTTTTTGTTTATTTGTTGTTGTTGTTGTTTTGGTGCAGAGGGGAGCATAAATGCAGTCCCCCACTACCACAAAGTATGTAGTTGAGTTTCCCGCGCTTGGGGAAATTGCAGGGGTAGCACAACCCCTGCAATGGGTGCAGTGGATAAGCCTGGTCCTGGGGAAAACCACCTTCATAATCAAAGGATCTCCCCCTGCCAGGTAAGTAGGGAACCTACTTTGAACCCGGTGTTCGAAAAGCAGTAAACAGGAAAAATCAATAGGCTTCAGAAAAATAAAACTGGAAAAGGGGAATGACTTTGAGGAGACTCAGAAAGAGCCTAACTGGAAACGGATACATGATGCACCAGCAGCTCTACTTGTGTTACCCATCGTTTTCCTGGCTGTAAACTTGAGCAGCTTAAAAAAGAAAAGCGATCTTTCCTGAGCACCTGGCTTAATTTATTCATGCCCAGTGAGGCCCTCCAGCAGTTTTCAATAGAAGAAGCTTAAGTATATTATACTAATATTAAATGCAACCACATAAAACAAAGACGAGGAATACATTTTTAAAATAATTTCTTAATTTGTGGATGAAATGTCATGATATACAGCCTTTGTTTTACAATAATTCAGTGGGGGAAGAGTATATATAAAACAGGATTGGCCATGAATTAATAATTGTTAGAGATGAATAATGGGGGCTCATTAACTTATTCTCTTCATTTAAGGACAAAAACCTTACTCCTTTTATCTATTCAAATGATTCTAATCATTTACTGAGAACTGTCTTTTAAAGGAAATGACCATAAAATTTGATGATGTAATTTCTAAGTAATTTTCACTAAAATTGTCCATCACTAAACATAACTGCAAAAAGCACATTAAAAAAAAGACCTAACCTCATTCTACACTTCCCTCCCATACACCTCTGTACTTTAGTTGAAGTAAAGAGGAATTAATAAGGAAAAACAGTTATTTAAATACTAAGTTTAAAAAATATTCATAGATTAATATCAACACAACATGAACAGTAAGCATTGCTGTTGTAGTTGAACCTACACTATACAGCAGTTGGGTCAAATACCCAGCGCCGGCTGGTGTGGCTCAGTTGGTTGAAGCATTGTACCATAACCAAAGGGTTGTAGGTTCATTTTTCAGTCAGGGCACATGCCCAGGTTGTGGGCTCAATCCTCAGCTGGGGTGTGTGCAGGAGGTGGCTGATCGGGCTCAGTGTTTCTCTCTTTCTCTCCATTTGATGTTTCTCTTTCTCTCTGTCCCTTCCCTTCTGTCTCAAATGAGAATAAAATAAAACTTTATAAAAAGAAAGAAAGAAAGTTTACACCTTGGGTAACTCTATTTCTCTAAATGTTAAGTGATATAAATATTTTATCTTTTTTCATTGAATCCTAATAAAAGTGTGACATACAATTGAGTGTATAAACACTCAAGTATTCATTTTTAATCTTTTTTTAATTGATTTTCTTTTTTAAAAAAGAAAAAGAAGCCCTGGCTGGTGTGGCTCAGTGGATGAGCACCAGCCTGTGAACCAAAGGGTCATCAGTTCAATTCCCAATCAGGCCACATGCCTGGGTTGTGGGCCAGGTCCCCAGCAGGGGATGCGCAAGAGGCAACCACATACTGATGCTTCTATCCTTCTCTTTCTCGCTCCTTTCTCCTCTGTCTAAAAATAAATAAATAAAAACTTTTAAAAAAGGAAGAAGGAGAGAGAGAAACATCGATTTGCTACTCCACTTACTTATGCATTCATTGGTTGATTCTTATATGTGTCCTGATGGGAGATCAAACCCTCAACCTTGGCATATTGGGATGATGTTCTAACCCAGGGATGTCCAACCTGTGGCCCAGGATGGCTGTGAATGTGGCCCAAAACAAAATTGTAAATTTACTTAAAACATGATGAGATATTCTTTTGGAAACAATAGAGTGAAAGAAGCTGAGAATCATATCAATGATTTGGAACATAAGGGAATGAAAAACCAACCAAACAGAACAAGAAGGAAAAAAAGGAATCCCTAAAACAGGATAGTATAAGCAGCCTCTAGCAGAACTTTAAGAGGTCCAACTTTCACATCATAAGGGTGCCAGAAGGAGAAGAAAAAAAGCAAGAAATTGGAAATCTATCTGAAAAAATAATGAAAGAAAACTTTCCTAATTTGGTAAAGTAAATAGACATACAAGTCCAGGAATCACAGAGTCCCAAACAAGATGGATGCAAAGAGACCCACTCCAAGACACATCACAATTATGAGGCCAAAGGTTAAAGATAGAGAATCTTAAAAGCAGCAAAAGAAGTTAGTTACCTACGGGGGAGTTCCCGTAAGACAGTCAGCTGATTTCTCGAAAGAAACTTTGCAGGCTAGAAGGGCTTGGAAAGAAATATTCAAAATCATGAACAGCAGGGACTTAGAGCGAATATTATTCTGCCCAGCAAAGCTATCATTTAGAAACAGAGGGCAGAGAAAGAGCTTCCCCGTCAAGAAAAAACTAAAGGAGTTCATCATCACCAAACCATTATTATATGAAATGTTAAAAGGACTTACTTAAGGAAAAGAAGATCAAAACCATGAACAATAAAATGGCAAAAAATACAAATCTATCAAATGGGGAAAAGTTGATGTTCATGTTACTTGTCACTGCCAGAAACAGTATGTGGAGACAAAGATTACATCTTTATGGGCTCTTTATTCAAATGCCAGGAATCTGAGAAGAGGGTAGGTTAAAAAACCTAACATCTCATTTCAAACTGATTATTTTTTAAGGAGAAAAAAGCGTAGGTAAAGGGGTTGGGAAAAAGGTTAACTGGATAAGAGTCGCAGTCCTGCAGAGATTTTCCTAGTATTTCTTTATCTGTTTATCAAATTCTTTATCTGCCTTACAACTTCCTCCCTGGAACACAATGGCTCTGATACCATCTCCAATTCCCTTGCAGACCCCCTGGGGCAGAAAGGTTGAATTGCTTGTGGTCAGACATTCCAGTTCCTAGAATAGCTTTACACAGGCATTAATCACTTAACCCTATCAACTACAGCTAAAATCTTTAACTCTTGAGTTCCCTTATCAACCCCAGTCTCTCAAGACCATGCTGTCAAGGTGAAGATGTACGTGGGGCTGGAGTCATCTGAAGTCTGGACAGGGCTGGAGGATCCACTTTCTAGAATCACATGGCTATTGGCACAAGGCCTCAGTTCCTCAGCACAGGACAGCTGGCTTCCTCCAGAATGAGTAATCAAAGATGACACAGTGCTTTCCCTCTAGGGGGCACACCCATGCCTTTCCGGTCCCCCTCTTCTTACTCCCAGGTGTATTACCTCTGCCTTGCTCTCTCCTGAACTCCAAGGACCCATCTGCTACCTCTGTAACTTTCTCTCTAAGTAAACTTTCTCTTATATTGTGGAAAAACAAAAACAAAGGTAACACAAGCCAAGCTGCAAAGACCATTCGTCATCATTTCTATTATCCATTACACAGATTACCCCCCCCCACCCCTTTCAGTGCGGGAGGGGACTGCCTGGGGCTAAAATATCAGGAGGCAGGGACCGCTGTGGATCATTTTGGAGACTGAATACCATATCACATAAACAAAAATATGAGTGAACATGTTTGTAGCACTTATTTTGAGCTAGGCACTGTACTAACGTATTAATACATTTCATTCTTCCTATAGCTGTATAAGGTAAATATTTTTGCAGGGGGGGTGGGTAGAGAGTAAAGTTTTTATTCACTCTCCAAGAAAGAAGAGGGGCGTGGTGTGCAGAGATATACAAGCACTGAGGGGTGGGGGCTTTGACCTTTTATCGGATTATAATTGGGTTAAAAGAGTGGGAGGAGGTTGCTGCTATGTCGCCCCTGGGCTGTTGGGGTGTTGTAACATGAGGCTGCAATTTGTCCCAATGTTGTCTTCTGCCTGTGGCTATAGATAGTTCTGTTCTTCCTTTCCAATCATTTCCAGTCCTGGTGGCACAGGCTCAAAAAAATGGCAGTCATGTTTAACAAGGTCCTAGGCCTGCTAGGCACATGGTGCCATGATAGCAAATGGTGCAGACTTTGTTCTTTCATTCTCCCTTCTGGCTTTAAATGGATTTTTTAATGACCCGTCCTGGTTCTGATTCTGGGGAGTAGGGAAGAGGTTCTCTTCTTCTGAAACTACTTCAGGCAGGCTTAGGGGTGTAGAGCTGTCCCTCAGACATGGGGCCCAGATAGGAGTCATTAAGGAAAAGGTGGGGGGATTGGGCAGCCCAAAAAGTGAGAGTTATGGCCAGAGGCCATATGTGGAGGGAATCGCGAGAGCCTGGATGCCCTTTTGAATGAAGGATACGAGATATTTGAGGAGACATGGCCTAAAAACAAGAATAAAGAAAAAGGCTGCTCTTGGTCCTAGGAAGGGAATCAGCCAGGAACACCAAGACCAGATATTGGCCTTAAAACAAACAAACAAGGGAAATTCCAAAATTCCCAAAAGGAAAAGATAGAGTAGTAGGTAAATTCTGTATGGCTGACACTGCATCAGTAGTTCTCAATGATTCCAAGTCAAAGGATGTGAAAAATAAAATGAAACATTAACTTAGAAGAAAACTAGAAAAGCTAGGATTCAATCAGTTTGTAGATGACAATTGTACATTGTGACTTCCACTGAAATACAATTTCTCTCCCCAAATCACCCTCCTTTTATTAAGAGACTTGCATATAAGTCCAGTTTCAATTTAGCCTGATTATTTGCATTAACACATTAAGAATAGTAATTGATCATATAGGCTCTTTTAAATCTGCTTTGCTGGAATTTTACAAAGAACCTTCAAATTGAGCTTTAATCAGCCTCTCAGGGCAAAGAAGTCAAGACACATAGTTGCCATCTGGTTTTGCCTGAAATACCTAAAATCTTGGGTGGATTTCTTAGGTTCTTGAGGTCCCCAAAATGTCATGAGCTTCCTTCCTTGCCATCTTTTAGGAAAGCAACCTTCGTTTCTTACCTGGAAACATTACCATGAACCATGTGACCAAAGCAAGGTACCAGGCCATTTCTCCAAGGAGCTCTTATTGGCTTCAAAAGTCAATCTTAGTTCCTTAAGGCTTTTTGGTGACATTAGAGTCCAGGCACAACTCTTTTGATTATGACATTCCAGACAAAGACTTGGTTAATAAAACCACATTTGGAAACTGGTGCTATTATAAAGAGAACAGATTCTTATTGGGTTTATGCAAATGAACA